TTCGATATTGCACGTTTTCATGTATTCATAATTTTTTTGGAACTCTTTACCACAATGTAGTGTATTTGTAATGTAAAGTTAGTTTTAAAGATTCATTTGTCGCCTACCATCCACGTCGATGAGAAAACCGTGCTCCTTGTGTGAATATTTGTTGACTCCAATATATGACATGGAATTTACTTTTATATGTATATATATTGTTTTTTTTAACATTTTCTAAGGGAATTAATAATTGGTCAATATATGTAATCGTCGCTTTTAAAATAAAACGTTTTACTACTTGATATTGCACGTTGTCTTTGAATGTCATCATTTGTAACTTTTAACCAGATAGCTCGAAAAATGCAAGAACAAATAATTTGCATTTTTGATGTCGCTCTCAGGCTTCATTCGGAAGATTCAACTGTTCATCAGTTTATGTAGTCCACCGTCTTGATTCTTCGGCAAAGAGTTGTGGGTAAAGTATAACGTATCTGCTGTTGTGAGAAAATGATTTCATCCACAACTTCAAAAGTAGAACCTCAAATTGGCCGAAAGTTTAGAACATAGTTGCATACGTCGGTGCCAAACTTGATGGCAACAGAAATGAAAATATTCATTTTTGTGTTTTTCTACCAAAGGATAAATTTTTCACAAGTGGATACTTTACCCGCAATCTTTTGCCGGAGAATCAAGATGGCGGAATTTGAAGAAAAATGTAATATATTTGACGAGCATAATAAAACGAGCGCTAAATGTAACGCGTATGCACCTGTTTTGGGTTTTGTGCATTCATTGATTCATTGCGCAGATTTCACTTTGTTAAAAACTTGCCAGTCCAAAAATTAATAGAAAGTAGTATTGAAATTCAATTTGTTCATTCTTTTGAAAGACTATATCAAACAAGGTTTACAATGCACAAACCCAAAATAGGTACACATATGTTGTCAAATTATATGACGTTAAAAATTTGCATATTAGTCTTGCTGCCCCCTAATTTGCATAGCTGGTACCAAAAGTTTTTGTATTCTGAACACCATAAGTTCCATAAGGAAATGTGAAAGGTAAATATATCGATCAAGCACTACCAGTGTAAATATTTATTGACAGTGTAGGTTTTTGCCTGATTTGAGAGGGAATTAACGTTTTCCGTTAAACATATATTTACAGTGCCCGATTGCTGATGCAATTATTAAATCACTTGTTTTTTGCTAAAATATTTGACTGCGCGTAAAGTTTGCAGGTTTTATCACTTTGTCAACAGAGGGCGTTCTGCAGTGGCGAAATGAGTGAATAAAAGATCGGCTCGGTTAGGCCCAATTATCAAATGACTCTTAGCCAATAAACTTGCACGTTTACTCGACAAACCAAACACGTCCACCAAAGTTTAACAGAATACAGGCACCTTTTGGTTACATTTTGATTTGAACACGTGTTCGTATAAGTGCTAAGTGTCAATAACTGTTGAATATATATGTACTGCGTGCAGGCATGAATCCAGAGTTACTGGGGAACCAGAATTGTAATTGCATATTACAGAGTATGACAAGGCAGGAGAGTGCGCAAATCTTTTTTTGCTGGGCATGCAATCGCTGGGCTGGCGTGGCTTGTTAGCTTGTATTTATATCTGGTAGCGTCGTTTATGTGTAGGTTTCGAAAACAAACGCAACGTTAACGTTCAGCACCATCAATGAGGTCTGATTGTCAAACCTCATTGACAGTGCTGAACGTCACTTACATAAAACGTAGTGAGATTGACCTCACTGTGATGACGCATTGGTTGTGGAATACGGGAAAAGGAACCGAAGCATGCGCACTGCGTATACAATATGCTAATGACCTTTAACGAGATTATAACGTCGGCAATATTATATGAAAGTGCAATTATTAACAGAAAACATTTATATCACGTATATTCGGTCTTGACCACCACTCTGACTATTGTGGTAATTCGAAAACTGTACATGCTTTCTATCATGCTAAACTGGTCACTAAATTTTACAACTGTTTCTGGCCTCAAACCGAATGAGAGTAGGCAAGCCTCAACAGGTTTCGATTGTACACAGCGCCACCAGTGGCTATTCCCGGCTCCTGCGTCTAGGAATTTTCTATATTATAATTTTCATTATTATAATTGACGTATAGAGGGCGTTATATAACCCGGGTGGCCAAAGTCAAATCGTACTTGGTGAGACACCACATAATTTGACATGACTTTTGGATAACTTTTGATTGTTTGTTTTTTCCGAATTCATCTTGACAAAACCTTATCTCAGTCAGCATTACTGACGAAATGGCCGACAAATTGGGCTAGTGACCCCAACTGTTTTTAAGGCAATATCATTATACTATAACGAGTTGGCGCAACATTTCATGATCAATTATATTCCAGGTTTTCCATCTCTCAATTCAGACTCTTTGCTTCGACTTTCCCAGACGCCCTCGGCGACATGTGCAACGTAGATCTGGTATTTCGTTTTTTGTTTTTTTTGTTCTCTTACTTTGGAACAATTTTTCTGCCAGTACTAAATTCACTGGCAGTCTTGAGTTTGTTTCATGAATCATATCGACAGAACACGTGATATGTCATAATAAGTCCTGGATTATAAAAACAAAAATAGCTTTGCATCTTGCGAATTATTTTGGCCAATCTAGTTGTTTCAATATGATTTGAATGAAACGTTCGAAAAACTACAAATGGAAATAGCTTTCCTGAAAGCACTGTTACGAGAATTGTGTGCCATCGTGGGTTATCACTGGGTATTACGGGTCATCGTGGGTTATCACTAGGTATCATGGGTGATGGTGGGTTATCACTAGGTATCACGGGTCATCATAGGTTATCACTAGGTATCACGGGTCATCGTGGGTTATCACTAGGTATCACGGGTCATCGTGGGTTATCACTAGGTATCACTGGTCATCATGGGTTATCACTAGGTATCACGGGTCATCGTGGGTTATCACTAGGTATCACTGGTCATCATGGGTTATCACTAGGTATCACGGGTCACCATGTGTTGTCGCTGGGTATTACGGGTCATCGTGTGTTATCACTAGGTATCACGGGTCATCGTGGGTTATCACTAGGTGTCACGGGTCACCATGGGTTATCACTAGGTATTACGAGTCATCGTGGGTTATAACTAGATATCACGGGTTATAAATTATCAAAAAAAGTACATTGCCTTCATTATAAATCGTTGCATTTTTAGGGTCCAAAGGGCGAGGCCCCTATTATTATCGTTCAGTTTTTTCTTTCTTTCTTTCTTTCTTTCTTCCGTAACTTCAAGCCGTTTGAGAAAACCGCTGAACAGAATGGTCTGATAATGCTCTATACTGATAGTCCCTAATGTGAACTGGTGCAACATGCTTTCAGAATTTCGATTGGTCAATTAGTTTGGCAGCCATATTGGATTGAAATAAAA